CTTAGGCAGAATTCTCCTCTGAGCGATAAAGACAACATGCTTCCCACTGAACTTTTTCTCCAATTCGCGTACTAGCCGGACTTGGATTTTTTGGAAAGATTTTAGTTGAGGAACAGGAACAAAGATTATGATAGCTTTCCGGCCACCACCAACTTCAATTTCCTTGGCTGCCGTAATATTCAGCTCCCTGAGCTGAGCCTTGAGGTCCGAGTTCATCTCCAGCTCCAGAAGAGCCTGGGAGATGCCGGACTCGAACTCGTCTGGCTTCTCGCCATTGGGCTTCACGATCTTGGCGCTCGAACTGAACATGGCTTTCTCCTTGGCGAGCGCCGACTTAGGAAAAGACCCAAATCTCGCGAGAGCACGTCAAAATCCGGCGGCGGAAGGGAAGAGGCGGAAACGGCGCGAGGAGCAATGTAATTTCATTGTCTATAACTGAACTACACTTTGCTTTCAAACCTTAGTCTTCCTAGACTTTTTTGAATTTTTTAGGCAAATTTAATTATTATCATCATCCCAGGTTTTAATTTCCAAAAGTTATTCACTTTTGGATACTCAGGGCTTCAGTTTCTTCCCCCTTTCTTTCTCATTGTCCCATCTCCATTTCTCCTCCCTAAGTGTCATCTATAACATTTCAGGGCTTATATATCACTCTGTATCCAAAAAAAAAAAAAGAAGAAAGAAAGAAAGAAAGAGGTGTCTGGTCCTCACTGGCCTCTGCTTTGACCCCTTTCCTTCTTGGCTTCTTTCTGGCATAGCTTAGCCTCTCCGTAGGTACTCATCAGGCCTTCTACACTGGTACAGAATGAGGGACAATTCATTCCAAGTGGCCCTTGCATTGCTAACATGACCAGTACTGATGGCCGCAAGCCTGGCTATTGTCTCTCAAATAACCAAAAGCACTTGCCCACTCCTCAAAGGGAGACAATCAAATCTCCATCAACTCTTTCAATCATCTCCAGATATAAGCTCTAAAGTCCAATGGAATTTGCATTATATCCAAAGAATGCAAGGTTATTTGGGCATGCAGAAATCAATGTAGTACACCACTTTAACAAAGGACATAAGCACAAAACCAATATAATCAACTCAATAGACATAGAAAAAAAATTTGACAAAAATCTTTCACCTTTTTATGATTAAAACACCCCTCAAATTAAGAATAGAACGGAGCTTCCTTGACCCAAAAAAGCACATTGAAAAACCCACATATAACATCATACTTAATGGGAGAAATGAAAAAGTTTTCCTTTAAGATCAGGAACAAGACTATTTCCTGGTAAATTTTTCATCCGCTCCATATTTGAGTTCTATTTATTTTGCATTTCTATTATTATTTTTTTTTTTTTTTTTTTTTTTTTTT